TGAAAGCATAAAAATATATAAAAATATGTAAAGCAAAGAGAATTAAACATGTTTATGGACGTTTTGTTGATCTACACGGCTTATTTGGAATCGATATGTTTTTTTAGGATATCCGCAGGTTGTTTGCTTTATCGCATATGACATTCGTGAGTGAGTGAGTGAGTTAATGCTTTACGTCACATCGGCAATATTTCAGCCATATCGTGACGAGTATGATATTCACTATGTGGTGGCAGTGATCTTCAACGCACAGGTCACAAATCAGGGGAGGTTAAGCACGTGGTGGGTGATCGCGTTCGGCAGCTAGACACACGTAGCACATATTGTGTCTCATAAGGCTTGACTTTGTTCGAAATATGCCTCTCTTCTAGCAGTAAAGGGTAGCCGGTAGGATCAGATAGTAACGAGACTGTTAATCTAATAGCGCCTCACAGGCAGCTTGGGTTGTATACTCCCAAGGGAGTTGAGAAAGAAATAGAATACACATTGACCGGGGTCAATCATGTAGCGCATTGAGATGCTTTCGGGTGTGGATTGGAGCATTATAAACATGCACATTATAAATACAATGTCAATAGAGTCAACGAGGACGTATTGTTTGAGTGTGTGTGTGTGTGTGTGTGTGTGCGTGTGCGTGTGTGTGCGTGTGCGTGTGCGTGTGCGTGTGTGTACGTGTGTGTGCGTGTGTGTGCGTGTGTGTTTGCTTGTACTAGTTAGGACTGATGCCGATTTATAGTGCTAGCTCACTGAGGTACCATGCCGCAGTTTAACATGAATACCCAACCAGATACACCATACACTCCGAGCCGACCAGTCCTTGTTTTAGCCTCTTACTTCCGCTTCCGGGCGGATGCTCACCACTAGACAACAGAGGCGGTTACATTGAAACACAGGTCACATGTGGTTGTCTTCTTAGGCAAGTCACTTTGTTCGAAATATGCCTCCGTTCACCCAGCAGTGAATGAGTACCTGGTAGGATGAGATGACAAGGTGATTGTAAAACTCCTAGCACCTCATTCGGCGGCTTGACTTGTATACTCCAATGGGAGCTGAAAATGAAAATTGGAGTGCACAAAAATACAAATACAAATGGCAAGCATAAACAAACAATAAATAGTCACATTGACATACATCGCATGTGCAAACAACACTTAGCCGTAAGGAATCACACACGCCATATAATCAGCTGATTGAATTACTATAATAACGCCTATCAAAATTCGAATAAATTATTTAGACATCTGTTAGCAAACTGTGCACGTGACTGAATAAATACTGGCCCGTGAAGATCCGGGGTAGAATAGATCTTCAGCAACCCATGCTTGCCGTAAAAGGCGACTATTCTTGTCGTAAGAGGCGACTAACGGGATCGGGTGGTCAGGCTCGCTGACTTGGTTGATGCATGTCATGGATCCCAATTGCGTGGATCGATGCTCATGATGTCAATCACTGGATTGTCTGGTCCAGACTCGATTATTTACAGATCGCCATCATACAGCTGGAATACTGCTGAGTGCGGCATTAAACACCGAACAAGCAAACAAGAATAAGTACTGCTTTACTTCGAAGTACATATGACGATATAGCGAACCAGTGGTTGACATCAATAGGGACCACCTACGCCGTTAGGTGAACAAGGCCATCCGAACCTCATTCTTCAGGGATGGGATACTGGGTGAAAATTCTTCCCCAGGGTCATCATCGGGGATTATCCAGGTCATCTGGATTTGAACACATACCTGCACTACGAGCTGTGTCATATGGGCTAATAGGGATCGAACCCGGGTCTTCGGCGTGGCGAGCGAACGCTTTAACCACTATGTTACCCCAACGCCCAAGCAGGAACACGAACATCGTCTTCAATAACTTTTCTTCCACAGTAAGCCTTGAGGTAACTGAAATACTGCCCAAAGCGGCGTTAAACCAACTCACTCACTATACTAGTGTACGACTTCAGATATATTCACTATTAACATAAATGTCTCATACAGTGATATTTGAGAAGGGGGGAGGGGGAGGGGACACGGATGACCTAGGAGTGCAGAGTTGCGGGCCTTAACGACCAGGATCCGCAGCTCGTGGTTCGAATCAGCCCGATTATGACGCCTTATCTGTCAAACCCAAGACCTATGCACGTGGGTTCCACCAATGGTGAGCGTCTGAATCACCTCATACAGTCTGCTGACATTTGCTGATATAAGTGGAATATTGTTCAAATCGGTGTTAACGTCCAATACGTATATTGCGGTAACTTTACCCATTTGTGTCTGTCACGCCCAACTCGTATTGTGTCTGGGTATAGTGTGTCTGTCACGCCCAACTCGTATTGTGTCTGGGTATAGTGTGTCTGTCACGCCCAACTCGTATTATGTCTGGGTATATTGCGGTAACTTTACCCATTTGTGTCTGTCACGCCCAACTCGTATTGTGTCTGGGTATATTGCGGTAACTTTACCCATTTGTGTCTCTCACGCCCAACTCGTATTGTGTCTGGGGATAGTGTGTCTGTCACGCCCAACTCGTATTGTGTCTGGGTATAGTGTGTCTGTCACGCCCAACTCGTATTGTGTCTGGGTATATTGCGGTAACTTTACCCATTTGTGTCTGTCACGCCCAACTCGTATTGTGTCTGGGTATAGTGTGTCTGTCACGCCCAACTCGTATTGTGTCTGGGTATATTGCGGTAACTTTACCCATTTGTGTCTGTCACGCCCAACTCGTATTGTGTCTGGGGATAGTGTGTCTGTCACGCCCAACTCGTATTGTGTCTGGGTATAGTGTGTCTGTCACGCCCAACTCGTATTGTGTCTGGGTATATTGCGGTAACTTTACCCATTTGTGTCTGTCACGCCCAACTCGTATTGTGTCTGGGTATAGTGTGTCTGTCACGCCCAACTCGTATTGTGTCTGGGTATATTGCGGTAACTTTACCCATTTGTGTCTGTCACGCCCAACTCGTATTATGTCTGGGTATAGTGTGTCTGTCACGCCCAACTCGTATTGTGTCTGGGTATATTGCGGTAACTTTACCCATTTGTGTCTGTCACGCCCAACTCGTATTGTGTCTGGGTATAGTGTGTCTGTCACGCCCAACTCGTATTGTGTCTGGGTATATTGCGGTAACTTTACCCATTTGTGTCTGTCACGCCCAACTCGTATTGTGTCTGGGTATAGTGTGTCTGTCACGCCCAACTCGTATTGTGTCTGGGTATAGTGTGTCTGTCACGCCCAACTCGTATTGTGTCTGGGTATATTGCGGTAACTTTACCCATTTGTGTCTGTCACGCCCAACTCGTATTGTGTCTGGGTATAGTGTGTCTGTCACGCCCAACTCGTATTGTGTCTGGGTATATTGCGGTAACTTTACACATTTGTGTCCGTCACGCCCAACTCGTATTGTGTCTGGGTATATTGCGGTAACTTTACACATTTGTGTCCGTCACGCCCAACTCGTTTTGTGTCTGGGTAAAGTGTGTCTGTCACGCCCAACTCGTATTGTGTCTGGGTATATTGCAGTAACTTAACCCATTTGTGTCTGTAACGCCCGACTCGTATTGTGTCTGGGTATATTGCGGTAACTTTACCCATTTGTGTCCGTCACGCCCAACTCGTTTTGTGTCTGGGTATAGTGTGTCTGTCACGCCCAACTCGTTTTGTGTCTGGGTAAAGTGTGTCTCTCACGCCCAACTCGTATTGTGTCTGGGTATATTGCGGTAACTTAACCCATTTGTGTCTGTAACGCCCGACTCGTATTGTGTCTGGGTATATTGCGGTAACTTTACACATTTGTGTCCGTCACGCCCAACTCGTTTTGTGTCTGGGTAAAGTGTGTCTGTCACGCCCAACTCGTATTGTGTCTGGATATATTGCAGTAACTTAACCCATTTGTGTCTGTAACGCCCGACTCGTATTGTGTCTGGGTATATTGCGGTAACTTTACCCATTTGTGTCCGTCACGCCCAACTCGTTTTGTGTCTGGGTATAGTGTGTCTGTCACGCCCAACTCGTTTTGTGTCTGGGTAAAGTGTGTCTCTCACGCCCAACTCGTATTGTGTCTGGGTATATTGCGGTAACTTAACCCATTTGTGTCTGTAACGCCCAACTCGTATTGTGTCTGGGTATATTGCGGTAACTTAACCCATTTGTGTCTGTAACGCCCGACTCGTATTGTGTCTGGGAATAGTTTGTGTCTGTCACCCCCAATTCGTAATGTGTCTGGGTATATTGTCGTAACAGTTTGTGCTTATCTATGATACCGGTGGAGTTTAGTCAAGCCAGCATCAAGTTTCTATCTCCAGGGTTACATTTGAACCTCCGAAATGCGCGAGTCATTTGGTTTTACGCCTCTTTTAGCACAATTCCAGACACCAAGAATGGACTTAATACAACAACGTTACTCCAAAGGCACCGTCGTTGATGTGACTGTAACCCGAAGAGCTGATATTTCCTCAAATCCCCTCGCAGAACTAATGACAGAATCAGCTGGTCGCGAACACGCAAGTACTTTCCCGGTCACATTCCGTAATTCCAAACGAAAATGCCAGAAAAATTGTATTTCTTTCTAAATCCTCAACCTGAAGTTCGTTAAAATCCAGCAGTGATATAACAGTTGCACGGTGTCAGTTGAGTTGTGAACAGACATGCTTTACACGGTTCTTTGCTTTACGAGAACAATTCAGTCAAAATGAGAATTTCAATTATACACACAATTTCAATTTCTCACTGAAGGAGAAACCATCGTTTAGACAGGGAACGTACTAGATGTGTTCCAAATACTGCACTATCGACTTGGCACATGGTTATATAAACGAGGTGAATGTGACACGTGGATGGCAGGAGACGAAGGTGACATGAGGGGTGGTAGGAGATGAAGGTGACACGAGGGATGGTAGGAGGTGAAGGTGACACGAGGGGAGGTAGAGGATGAAGGTGACACGAGGGGTGGTGGGAGATGAAGGTGACACGAGGGGTGGTAGGAGATGAAGGTGACACGAGGGGTGCTAGGAGATGAAGGTGACACGAGGAATGGTAGGCGATGAAGGTGACACGAGGGGAGGTAGGATATGAAGTTGACACGAGGGGAGGTAGAGGATGAAGGTGACACGAGGAATGGTAGGAGATGAAGGAGACTCGAGGGGTGACAGGAGATGAAGGTGACACGAGGGGTAGTACGAGATGAAGGTGACACGAGGTGAGGTAGAAGATGAAGGTGACACGAGGGGAGGTCGGAGATGAAGGTGACACGAGGGGAGGTCGGAGATGAAGGTGACACGAGGGGAGGTAGGAGATGAAGGTGACACGAGGGATGGTGGGAGATGAAGGTGACACGAGGGGTGGCAGGAGATGAAGGTTACACGAGGGGAGGTCGGAGATGAAGGTGACACGAGGGGAGGTAGGAGATGAAGGTTACACGAGGGATGGTAGGAGGTGAAGGTGACACGAGGGGAGGTAGAGGATGAAGGTGACACGAGGGGTGGTGGGAGATGAAGGTGACACGAGGGGTGGTAGGAGATGAAGGTGACACGAGGGGTGGTAGGTGATGAAGGTGACACGAGGGGAGGTAGAGGATGAAGGTGACACGAGGGGTGGTAGGAGATGAAGGTGACACGAGGGGTGGTAGGAGATGAAGGTGACACGAGGGGAGGTAGGTGATGAAGGTGACACGAGGGATGGTTGGAGATGAAGGTGACACGAGGGGAGGTAGAGGATGAAGGTGACACGAGGGGTGGTGGGAGATGAAGGTGACACGAGGGGTGGTAGGAGATGAAGGTGACACGAGGGGTGGTAGGTGATGAAGGTGACACGAGGGGAGGTAGAGGATGAAGGTGACACGAGGGGTGGTAGGAGATGAAGGTGACACGAGGGGTGGTAGGAGATGAAGGTGACACGAGCGGAGGTAGAGGATGAAGGTGACACGAGGGATGGTAGGAGATGAAGGTGACACGAGGGGTGGTGGGAGATGAAGGTGACACGAGGGGTGGTGGGAGATGAAGGTGACACGAGGGATGGTAGGAGATGAAGGTGACATGAGGGGTGGTGGGAGATGAAGGTGACACGAGGGGTGGTGGGAGATGAAGGTGACACGAGGGATGGTAGGAGATGAAGGTGACACGAGGGGAGGTAGGAGATGAAGGTGACACGAGCGGAGGTAGGAGATGAAGGTGACACGAGGGGTGGTGGGAGATGAAGGTGACACGAGGGGTGGTGGGAGATGAAGGTGACACGAGGGGTGGTGGGAGATGAAGGTGACACGAGCGGAGGTAGGAGATGAAGGTGACACGAGTGGTGACAGGAGATGAAGGTGACACGAGGGGAGGTAGGAGATGAAGGTGACACGAGGGATGGTAGGAGATGAAGGTGACACGAGGGGTAGTACGAGATGAAGGTGACACGAGGGGAGGTAGAGGATGAAGGTGACATGAGGGATGGTAGGAGATGAAGGTGACACGAGATGTGGTAGGAGATGAAGGTGACACGAGGGGTGGTAGGAGATGAAGGTGACACGAGGGGTGACAGGAGATGAAGGTGACACGAGGGGTGACAGGAGATGAAGGTGACACGAGGGGTGCTAGGAGATGAAGGTGACACGAGGAATGGTAGGCGATGAAGGTGACTCAAGGGTGGTAGGCGATGAAGGTGACTCGAGGGGTGGTGGGAGATGAAGGTGACACGAGGAATGGTAGGAGATGAAGGTGACACGAGGGGTGGCAGGAGACGAAGGTGACACGAGGTGTGTAGGAGATGAAGGTGACATGAGGGTTTAGAAGATGAAGGTGTCTCGAGTGGTGGTGTGATTTGAATATTGCACCAGCGTTGGTAGGAGGTGATGTTTGAACGAGTGGTGTTGGGAGAAATGTCACCAGGGGTTCACGAGGACATTTGCCCCTATTTTTCATAAAGTTATAAATTTGAAAGTGTCCCCACTCTCCACACCAACCCGCCTATCCCCTTTAAAACTTCGTCTTTACTCGGTCAGTCTCTAATTCCATAGTATTTATGTCTTGTCGTGGCGTTGTCAACTCTCCGATGCACGGAAAACCTGTTGGAGGATGAAAGGGCACAATTATCGCGCGTGCAGTTATTCATCTTTGCTTCAATTGTGCACACAGTTTCCACTGATTGATGTAAGTCCAGATACAGAGCCAGACAGACCTCTTGTATCTTTCATCACGATGATTTTCGCTTTCAATGAGACGGGAATTTCCATGATTGGCTTTTATGAAAACACGAAATACTCCTCTGAAAGTTAATGCATGGGAAGCACATATACATTCATATTCAACAAGGCAGTCTGACAGGCTCTTGATGAGGCACAGACTTCTACCTTAGGGAGAGCATTTGGATTTTTAAAAATATATCACATTCTCACATAATTTCATGGTATTGTAGATGAGTTCGTGAGTGAGTATGGATTGACGCCGCTTTTAGCAATATTTTAATCACTTTACTGCGGAGGTAATCAGGAATAGGCTCCATACAGTCTACCCATGTTAGGAATCGAGTTTGGGTCTTGGCAAGATGACGAGGGGGCGGTCGGGTAGCCTAGTGGTTAAAGCGTTCGCCCGTCACGCTGAAGACCCGGGTTCGAATCCCGACATGGGTACAATGTGTGAAGCCCATTTCTGGTGTCCCCCGCCGTGATATTGCTGGAATATTGCTAAAAGCGGCGTAAAACCAAACTCACTCACTCACTTGGCAAGACGAGCGACTTTCCCTCTTCTCATCGTCACGCCGAAGACCCGGGTTCGATTCCCGACATGGGTACAATGTGTGAAGCCCATTTCAGGTGTCCCCCGCGTGATATTGCTGGAATATTGCTAAAAGCGGCATAAAACCATACTCACTCACTCCCCTCTTTACTGGCAACCTACCCGGCCGCAAGATCATACACAAAATATACTTACCTACCATAAATATGTAAGTGCAATATAAGGAAATATACCATCGGATACATGACATACTATTCAGATGGTCTTCAGTTTTTACACAAAATGAAAACACCAAACTAGATATCACTTAGAAATCCCAAGGGGGATCTCAAGCCATGAGAAACGGTACTGGAGTTTTTAGGCGGGACGAAAATACTCTCTGGTTACCCTCACCTTGGAAGAGAGAAAAATCCTTTTTCTCGATGATTTCCTTTGGGATCAGCATCTTGGGAAAGAAAAAGTGTCTACAGCATCTCATTGTTAAGGCCTACTTACTAAGGCAGGAAACAGCATTTCCTTAAACACCAGGGGTCCCAAAAAAACCTCAGTTAAAAATCGATTACATGACATTACATCCCGAAAAACCGATTACGCGGCGGAACTAATTAATTATTGGGAGGATTAAACACTTGAAGCATGATATACTGCAGTTTGTTATTTATTTTCTTTCCCATTTTGCAATCTGTTGTTGTGTAAATCGTAACATGTTGTAATCTATTTTGTTTCCGGAACATGCTGATGCGGAGTGATGCATTGCGAGTATAATACGTTTTGTAATGAACTTCTCATCTCAGTCGGTCTCTCTCTCTCTGAGGAACACAGCAGGGACGGAGGCTGATGAATGCCGGAGTCGAAATGGGATGTTTTTTCTGTGACAGCCTGTTTGACTAAAACAGCTTTTGTCACAAGAATACATTTATTTTGCTTGTATTTTCACGGGTGTCGTGTTTATCAATTTGCTGAATAAATGACACAATATTACTCACGTCGGATCCGTGTGTGCTGTCATGGTGCCACGTTGTGTTGTTATTTTATGGGATCCCTCCCTCTTATCTCTGTTATTTAAGATGTAATTGTTTTTCATGGGGCTCTCCAGGGAAAATAGGAGATTCATTGGATCTGACAAAGATGTATTGCACATGAAAGAAATTCAGGGACAGCTGAGCTTTGGGTTTCACGTTTGATGCCATGCAGTCTCTGGACACAGAGTCGCGCCATTACACATAGCAGCATGAAGATGCCACCTTATGCCACTGATCCTAGCACAGGTAGTACACCAAGTGAGTGAGTGAGTTGGGTTTAACGCCGCTTTTAACAGTATTCCAGTTATATCACGGCGTGTCAGCTTAATGTGGGAGGAAAGCCCGAAGTGGTGCAGGTTTCAGACGTTTACAACTTCGGTGAAACCCACGAGCACTAGTACACCAAGACGTGTATTTAAGCCTAGTAGGGTTAGGACACCGATTCTTGCATCTTATCCTAGCAGTCTTGAGACACCGATTCTTGCATCTTATCCTAGCAGTCTTGAGACACCAATTCTTGCATCTTATCCTAGCAGTGTTAAGACATCAATTCTTGCATCTAAACATAGCAGTATTTGGACACCGATTCTTGCATCTTATCCTAGCAGTCTTGAGACACCAATTCATGCATCTAAACATAGCAGTATTTGGACACTGATTCTTGCATCTAAACATAGCAGTCTTGAGACACCAATTCTTGCATCTAAACATAGCAGTATTTGGACACCGATTCTTGCATCTTATCCTAGCAGTCTTGAGACACCAATTCTTGCATTACTTACTTACTTACTTTGGAGATTTAACGTGCGCTTTCCGACTGATGTGTATTTTGCACACGGGCCCGGCCAGGCCATTTAATGTGTTTCCGAAAGGGGCGAAAGTGGTCTGTGCAACCCAAGAGGGGGGTTTTAGGGGTTGCTTATATAGAATTTGGGAATTTTGAGATTTGAAATAGATGCCGATGGGATTGGGGAGGAGAACTAAGGGAGCTGGGTATGGTGGATGTTTGTTTGTTTATGTGATTTTGATTTGGTAGGTTATTGTGTTTTTAGATGCGTTTTATTAGTTCCGTTTTTATTATTCTTGCATCTTATCCTAGCAGTCTTGAGACACCGATTCTTGCATCTAAACAAAGCAGTGTTTGGACACCGATTCTTGCATCTAAACAAAGCAGTGTTTGGACACCGATTCTTGCATCTAAACATAGCAGTCTTGAGACACCAATTCTTGCATCTAAACATAGCAGTATTTGGACACTGATTCTTGCATCTAAACATAGCAGTGTTTGGACACTGATTCTTGCATCTAAACATAGCAGTGTTTGGACACCGATTCTTGCATCTTAACATAGCAGTGTTTGGACACTGATTCTTGCATCTAAACATAGCAGTGTTTGGACACCGATTCTTGCATCTAAACATAGCAGTGTTTGGACACTGATTTTTGTATCTAAACAAAGCAGTGTTTGGACACTGATTCTTGCATCTAAACATAGCAGTGTTTGGACACCGATTCTTGCATCTAAACAAAGCAATGTTTGGACACCAATCTTGCATCTAAACAAAGCAGTGTTTGGACACCGATTCTTGCATCTAAACATAGCAGTGTTTGGACACTGATTCTTGCATCTAAACATAGCAGTGTTTGGACACTGATTCTTGCATCTTAACATAGCAGTGTTTGGACACTGATTCTTGCATCTAAACATAGCAGTGTTTGGACACCGATTCTTGCATCTTAACATAGCAGTGTTTGGACACCGATTCTTGCATCTTAACATAGCAGTGTTTGGACACCAATGCTTGCATCGAAGCCAATCAAATTGAGAACAGCAATTATTGCAGCTAAGCCAATCAAATTTAGAGTATCTGCGTCATGGACAGTGTCCATTGACATCCCTATTTCGAACATTAGACGTTTTCGGCTAAATTATCACAAAACTAGTTCCTTCGAATCCATCCATAACACTGATAAAGAGATGTAACCTTGCCATCTTGATTATTCTTCATCACTCTCAACCCGAAATGGCTCTATCATATCATCGTTGACCATTCTCATTGCCCTTACTCGCATCGCTGATAACCTCCCCACAGCAGGGATCACCATTGTCAGAAAGAACCAATTATTCCTAACAATGTATACACATATGCAATACGTGAATCCAATTTCAATGAATTCAGTTATTGCCGCTACAAGTGTAGCTACTTTGCTCATAAATGGCGATGTAACGAACGATGTTTGTAAAGGAAATTCCTGCTTCGGAAGAATAGTTATCTTTGCTAAAGAGCACAAGCCGTAAGTGGGATCAGAAGCTGTAAATGAGATTAAATGAGAGGCGTTAACAGCCGCACTATACAGCGAGGAGATCATATCATAAAGCCTGGTTCATGTTCTTGCTGCTGTTTATCACATCCATAAAGACAATAATTGTTCAGATTTGACAACAAAATACTGTTTACAGCCTGCCGTAAATCGGTCCGTGTCCTGTCACGTGACGCGAAAACAGCCAATCCCCTTGAGGCAGAACGCCACCTTTCAATCGCCATTTTGCGTGAGAGTGGAACATTTTTCTTCCCAGCGCATAGACTTTTGACTTGATAGGGATAATGACGAACGGTAGTCTGTTCAATTAGATCGACGAATAAATCCCCCGAATCCTTTCTGTTTCCTCTTTTGTCGTACGGGGGAATTATCCCCATGTTAAACATCACGCGAGCTGGTGAAGCGAAACTAGTTTATTTGATTTTTGGTTAGGGCCTAGACCAAGACTAAGACTAGGGTCATTGATTAACGAAATTCCGATAACAGAGAGGAAGGATGTGACTTAGTTGTTTTAAGGCTGATGACAGGGTATTAACGTCCTTTTCTAAATAAGTTGATCCAAAAAGGATTTAAAAAATCAGAAGGACCCAGGGTTTTACTTCAGTGGTGGTGGAAATCGATTCTAATTATTGAGCAAAATGATTCAGGAATCTTCCGCGGTGTATGTTTTTAAAATTGAAATGAACGTAACGTATTATTACAGAATGTTGAACCTTTATGCGTTTAGAAACGGCAGCCTGAAATCGGAAGATACTATTTTATTTGAGAGGAGGTCGATTTGACAAAATTATACGGACGTGTCGAGACGTAAATGAAGGAATGACCTTACAATCATGTTCTATTTGTTAAACATTTAGTTTCACGGAAACATCTGTTCAGTGCAGTTTAGAAGGAATTCAAGTCAACCATTGGTAATATTCCTCGCTGTTGTAATAAGGTTCGTCTGTGTGCGGTCGCTTCGATAACTGAGACCACTTAGATATTTACACATGTCGTGGTTTCTGCACTGAATGTGGCTTTTTGCCATTCTTTCGTTAATCTGTCCCCACTGGGAAACAACAATAGGAATGCACTCATTCGGACACTGGAGATATTGATCATGAGTGAGTTTGTGTTGTTTAGACTGATATTCGGCTATATCACACTTATTTAAGGATATGGGGTGGTCGGGGAGCCTAGTGTTTAAAGCGATCGCTCGTCACGAAGAAGACCCTGGTTTGATTCCCGACATGGGTACAATGTGTGAAGCCCATTTCTGGTGTCCCCCGCCGTGATATTGCTGGAATATTGCTAAAAGCGACGTAAAACCATACTCACTCACTCACTTTTTATGGATATTGATCTTGGACCCGACCAACTAGAGGTCGAGTGCATGAGCATAGGTTTTCGATATAAACAATTCACCAGGTCATCTTAAAATTTTGTCGGTGATTACCAACCGAATTCAAAACGTAATCGTTGGAAAATAATCAGTCTCGAATATAAACCGACACAGATTCCATTGGGTGCAAGACCCGTGACGATTCCGGGGTAGGTAGAATAGGTCTTCAGCAACCCATGCTTGCTGTAAAAGGTGACTATGCTTGTCGTGAAAGGCGACTAACGGGATCGGGTGGTCAGGCTCGCTGACTTGGTTGAGGCATGTCATCGATCCCAATTGCGTGGATGGATGCTCATGATATCAATCACTGGATTGTCTGGCCCAGACTCGATTATTTACAGACCGCCGTCATTTAGCTGGAATATTGCTGAGTGCGGCGTTAAACAACAAACAAACAAACAAACCATTGAGTGTAAAATGTAAAAAAGTAATGAAGGAATCACTGCCAATAGGTGATGACATCAGATGTTCGCGAATGGGGGTAAGTTTGTCCTGCTCAAGTGGTGGCACCCAAGTCTCTCACAATTTTTATTACAAAGTTATGTTCATGATCCATTATTTTATTAAAAATGTTTAATGTTTCATTATTAAAGTTCTGGACCCGGTTGCATCAGTTTATTTAACCCTAGTGGTTAATGACATTCTCAATGATTCATTAGTTAATGACGGCATTAAAGTAGTTTGTGCAAAGTTTTCATTTTACTGTCATTAACTAATACT